GCTATCGGGTCTACTTGCCCAAGGACCACGTGGTGGTCACGACGCAGCAGGTCAAGAACATTGAGACGCTCGGCAAGAAGCAGAACCTTCAGGTGCAGCGGCTGTACCTTCAGGCCGGCGAACCGCTCGAAGGCAGCGAGCCAGCGGACAACGGAGCTCAAGCGCTGGAAACTGGGGCCCCAAACGTGAAGGGCAAGAAGAAGCGCACGTCGACCAAGAAGAAGAAGTCGTGGTCGCGCGAGCGCCACGTGACGCGCTCCGTGGCCAAGAATGCCAGAGTCACGGCGAACGAGACCGCGCAGTCACAGGAGACTACGCGCAACGTCGTGAACAGCGTGGTCGAGTACGACCCGAAGTCGTACCAGGAGGCAATGCGCAGCAAGCACAAGGACAAGTGGCTCGCTGCGATGGCTGACGAGCTGCACGCGCTCGAGGGCAACGGCGTATGGCGCATCGTGCGCAAGCCCGAGGGCTGCCATGTGCTAAATACCAAGTGGGTCTTCAAGACCAAAGTGGACGCGGAGGGCGCCATCGAGCGACTGAAGGCGCGCCTCGTCGCCTGCGGGAACGAACAACAGTTCGGGATCGACTACAGCGTGACACTCTCTGCTGTCATCGAGATGAGCAGCTTGAAGCTGATCTTCGTGCTCGCCAGGAAGTGGCGCGTCCCCGCAAAGCATGGCGACGTGCCAAACGCCTACGTGAAGGCGGTGAAGGAACCTGAGCTCGACATATACCTGCGCATCCCGCGCGGAATGGTGGTCCCGAAGGAGCTGAGGTGCTTGCTTGGCGTGTCCAGCGACAACGAGATGGTACTGGAGTTGAAGAAGACGTTGTACGGGCCTCAAGCAAGCCGGACGCCTCTGGAATCAGCTCCTTCACCAGACGCTAACGGACATCGGCTTCTCGCAGAGCCTTACGGACATGTGCGTTTACTATAGATCCTGCGAAGGCACCCCTGCTGGTGGTTGGCGTATATGTCGACGACCTCCTGGTCACGGGCACGCAGCAGAAGGCCGTCGACGCCTTCTTCAGCGAGCTCAGCATGCTCGCGATCAAGGACTTGGGCCCCGCCAACAAGTTCCTGGGTATTCGCGTGGTATATGACAAGGAGACGGGCTATGATCTGGACCAAGAGCTCGCGATCAAGGAGATGCTGCGCGAGCACGGTATGTCGTCCGTGCACGGCGTGCGCACGCCCATTGGGGCGGAGTCCAACGACGTCGACGAGACCGCGGACGTACTACTGCCTCTCACTGGTGGCGACAACGAGATCACGATCCGCAAGTTTCAATCCCTCGTGGGCAGCCTCATGTGGGTGGCGCAGTGCACGCGCCCCGACATCGCGTACGCAGTCCACAAGGTGTCACGCCGCACACACAGCCCCACGATGTCGGACTGGAAGCTTGGGAAGCGGATCGCGCGATATCTCGCGGGCTCGATGACCTTGCGGTTGAGCATGAAGGGCAATTGCCCGTTGGAGGAGCCGCTGAACGTTGTCGCGTACAGCGATGCGGACTTCGCTGCCGACAAGTCCGACAGGAAGTCCGTCACGGGCGGATTGCTCTCTGTCGACGGGATGCCCGTGTCCTGGGTCTGCCGAAAGCAAACTGGAGTCAGCCTCTCCACCATGGAGGCGGAGTTACGGCAGCGTCGGTGATGA